AGAGGCCTCAGGGTGAGGCTGCTGGTCTCCTGCCTGCTGGGGCACATTGTCCTTAGCACCGGACATGTGGCTTGGAACAGGCTTTGTGGAAAGTTAGTGGCCTTCCCAGAGTGGAGATGAACCACTTTGTGCCAGGGCTTGGTGGCCGCTCCGCTCCTCGGGCTTTCCCCGTGTCCCATGGACACCATCTGCTCAGAGGCAAGGGCAGCGCGTCCTCCAGCCCTACTCGTGGCTGATGCTCTCAGCATGGGTCTGGAGTACATGCAAGGAGCCAGCAAACTTGTCTCCAGTGTACAAGAAAAGACCTAAGCAGCTTTTAGGGTCCATCTCCCAATGACTTCTGCTCAAAAGATGGAGACCGAGGCTAGGAACAACCATGCTGTGCCAGTGGGATGCTGAGCATGAGCCAGTGGGACCTGCCAGGAGGAGCAGCACTGGGCTGACATGATGTTGGGATATTTCTGGCTGGATCTCCATACTCTTCTCCTTTGCACAGTACGGATGGGTGCAGAGGGACAGACTAGCAGGAGGGAGGAGGCGGAGAGGTTCCCTGGGCAGAAGTAACATGTTGGCGGGCTGGAAGGTGAGGAGGCACGTGGCCATGTTGGGCAGGCAGGCAAAGCAGGCTCTGTTCAATTGCTAGATGGTTTTGGGGGTCACCTCCACTGGAAAAGTCACAGAAGATCGCAGCCTGCAGGTTCCTAGACTCAGCTTGGCCACTCAACCTGTGTGCTTGGCTGGTCTGTGCTGGACACATGTCCTGGTTCCGCGTAAAAAGGGGTTCAGGGCAGGACCCACATGGAACAGAACTATGTACTCGCCTCTTCCCCCCCGAGAGAGAGAGAGACACTTTGGAAAAAAAAAATGAAGTATACTGTTTAACAAGGAACAGAAAACGAAAAAGGGAGGTAAGGAAAATAATATATACAAAGATTAGGGGGAAAATACAAAAAATAAAATATACAAAACCCTCAGAAATGGTTCCAGGGTCCCACGGAGTGAAAGGACAACTTCCCTCTCTGAGCTGCAGGCCAGGAGTGAAATTAGCACCCACTTCCTGCCTCTTATCAGAGTGTGTGTTGGAAGGGGGGGGAATACAATGGTTTCACCCCCACCCGGGGTCCTCCCAGTTGCTGGAAGATCACGCCCCCATTCCAAGCTTCAAACCACAACAACACAGTAGTTCTCTGCAGTCTTCTAGGACCCTGTAGTTACTGATCATTTAAACACTAATGGTCCTTCAGCATGTGTTGGTGAGCGAGCTGTGGTGGGAGGAGGTGCAGGAGTAGGCATTTTGCAGACCACTTGGTCTAAAGGAGTCCTTACTACCTTGCTCTGAAACTCAGAAAAAGAGTGGCACTGAAGTCTTGCAGGGGATGATGTATTGGGGTGAGTGTGAGCCAGAGCATGGAAGAATGAGTAGCTCAGACTTGTTTTCATGGTCAAAAAATGAGTCTGGCCATACTGATCTTACACTTTTTACAAGCTGCTGGCTCCAAACACTACATCCTGAGCAGTGGGACTGAGGCTGTGCTCCTGGCTATGTTTGGACTTGCTCAGACAATTTGCCTCCCAGACTGCCTAATGAACTGCTCTGACAGGTCAGCGGGCCTCTCCTTGCTCCTCCGAGCCACCCGAGCGGCAGGAAGGTGTGAGGCACAGCAGCAGGAGTTCCCTGGGAGCCCTTGAGGGCAGCACTGCTACAAACCCCAGAAACGCTGTCCACAGCAGATGTGAGGATCTGCGGGGATGTGAGGGTTGCACCCAGCCTGGAAGAGCTCTCCTGGGCATCTCCGTGTTCATGTGTCCCCAGAGAGGCCCTTGGGAGCTTTTCCCACACCCCAGTCAGCCTGAGCTTTCCTCGAGCTCCGCCTCAGCTGGGGATGCAGGTTTGCAGGAGCACTGATGCCCAGGAAGCTGATGTTGGCACCGAGGAGGGGGAAGGTTTTTGAGGAGACCTACAAGGATGGTGCCAGGTGGTGGGGTAACATCCACGCTGGGTGCTGGAGCCCAGAGCAGTACTTCACCTTTCCTGTTGGACGAAGACGCCGTGCTCAGCTGCAGCGTTCGCTCTGCCACCATCTCGGCAGGCACGGGGCAGCGACCGGGTCGGGTTCGGACCTCGCCCCTCTCAGCTGGGTCTCTTCTTTCCCAGCCATTCCCAGGGCAAATTCAAACCACCCTTCCCTTGGGATGCAAAGCGAGGGGCCGGCATCATCTCGGCTCCGTCCTCAAGGGGCTGGGTGCTGCTCACCCATCCCTCAGATGCCGGAACACCACGTCAGCCACGGGCAGCGCCCGGCTCGGCGTGCCAGGCTCGTCAGGAGCCCCGTGCTAACACGAGGTGACGGAGCCCACAGGAGTGGGAGCTTGGGTGCGAGCCTCTGGGGCCTGTCGCTCTGCATCCCATCCCCGTTGCCACGTGGCAGCCCTGGGGCGTTGCAAGGGGCACCGGCAAGCTGCAGCTGACGAGGGGCGGCTGCTCTCCCAAACCTTCTCCCCTCCTTGGATGGGCGGCAGGGTGCTGACAAGTGCTCTGGGCATGGTTGGTGCTTTGCTTGGGAAGAAAAAAGCCGCTTGTTGCCTGGCATAAAAAAATTGAAGGATAGGTGGTTGTGCTGTCCCAGGGCCCCAGGGACCTTCCCCTCCCACCAGCAGCCATTGAGGCTGGGGCGCACAGCCTTGGGGCGGGGGGGAGGGCGGGCTGCAGATTGGGGGAAGGTCTGAGAAGGGTCCTGGTCCCCGTTTGCCCTACCCAGGTTGTGTCTGAGCTGTGTTCCTGGCAGCAGGGTGGCCCCAGCATTCCCCATGCTGCAGGTGACATGCTCCTGCTCCAGCTGTGGACAGGGTGATGGTGGCCGACAGATGTGGGGTTCGGGCAGGCGTTTCAGGGGGCAGAGGTACTGGTGCTGCAACAAGGTGCTGCAAGGCTGGGTGCTGAGGTGGGGGCTCCATCTACAGAGAGCACAAGGCTCAGCCGAAGTCAGGCCCTACCCCATCCCCAGCAGGTCTCCCCAGAGTGCTTCTGCCCAACACCTAAACCCTGCTGAGCCCCTCTGGGGGATGGGTGTGCCCTTGTGCCCCCTGGCCCTGCTTCCTCCCCAGCTCCCAGGCGTTGCTTTGGATACCTGCACTGCTGGGGGCACACCACTGGATGCTCCTCTCCACCAGCCCCAGGCCACCAGCTGTGTCTGGGCACACTGAACCCCCTCGCCGAGGCCACCTTAGCGCTGTTTGATGGGAACAGAGGCTGGAATCGCCCGGTTCTGTGCACCAGGCCAGGGGGAATTCAGGGGTCCCCCAGCCCCCCACCACTGCACCCAGGGATTGCCGAGTGGCTGCACACTGCTGCCCTGCAAGGGCAAAGAGACGCTCAGCCCAGCGTGAGCTTAGAAAAATAGGCATTTTTATTCCAATGTAACTAGAGAATTACAACCCGAGAGAGGAGGGGGTTACTCACATTTATCGATAGGCTTATTAGATTACTGCCTACATAGCTGTGCTTCAGCAGCGCGTTCGTCCGCCTCAAGGAGAAGCGGCGGAGGAGGGAGGGCGGTGCATCGGAGCCCTCGTCGTCCTTGGTGGCACGGGGAGCTCTGAGCAATGAGGGCCAGGCGCTGGATCGTGGCACCCAATCCTGCCATGGCTATTTACAGCTTCTTGGGAAGCAAAAGCTTGTAATGTTTGCTTGGCTGCATGGCTGGTGGAGTGCTGAGCTCCATCTCTCCCGCGTGGCCATTTTCAGGAAGGGGAGTCACGCGTTGCCCCCCCAGCCCCGCCACGACTACAGCATGTTGATGGGGACCAGCACTGACTTGGAGAGGACAGTGGCATCACCATCCCTGGGGGCCCTGGCGTGCGAGAGGACAGTGCCCCACTCATCACAGCTAGTCCTTCGCCTGGAGACCCGTGGTGGTAATGGGCTGGGTCTCGTGCTCTTGTCAGACCACTGGCCCCAGTGTCACCATTAGGGAGTTTGGCTGCCCAAATGAAGTGGGGGTTCCTCAGGCGTGCTGGGTTCATCAGTGTTACTCTTGTCCTAATGAGGCCGTTGCCAGTGGTGCAACAGGCACCGACATGCCCCCCAACCCAAATTGCACCAGGAGCTCATGGCTGAAGTGGTTGTGGGTGATGCTGAGCACCATCGTGGGTTGCAGTCAAGTTGGGAAGTCAGGGGTGCTAGATAACCCTGCTTCTAGCAGCAATGCAGGAGAACAGCTCTCAGGAGGCCCCGGCTCTGCTCCCAGCTCTGCCCCACTACGACACAATGGGGGTGTCAGAAAAGACGGAACTGATGGACTCCGAGTCCGACTTGAGCTGCAGGACCTTGGGGTGCTTGGGGTCAGGGAGGTCCTCGCCGAGGGCCAGGCGGATCTTCCCGTTCTGTGTCTCCCTGACGGGCTCGAGGAAGGCCACGTGCTTGTTGGCGCTGACCTTGCGGTGTGGCCCATCGGTGGTGGGGGGGGTGGTGCTGAGGATGGAGGAGGACTGGGCACTGCACTCCTGTGGGGGGCTGAGAGGAGCTGGCTTCTTGCAGCAGCTCAGGCAGCGGCAGGGCGTGAGATACAGGTAGATGATCACGAGCACCAGGCTCACGATGCACCCCAGGAGGGTCGTCAGGCCGGTGCTGAAGATCTCCCCCTCCGGCTTGGGGTAATGGACCGTCACGTTGACTTCGCACAGCCTGCTGAAATTGTGGGGGCTGTCGATGGCCAAGCCCACATAGACCCCCGAGTGCCAGGGCTTGGCTGCTGTGATCTTCAGGCTGCCATTGTGGTAGACCTCCAAGGAGCGGTTGCTGTTCCCTGGGTGTTTGATGGGCTCGTGGTGAGGGGAGATCCACATGTAGGTGGTGGCCGTGCCCGGCAGGCTGGTGTTGCAGGTGAGCAGGAGGGCCTGGCCCACCACCACAGGGAAGGGCACAGGGTGCACTTCTTCGGGGCCTGCCGAGCAGTTCTCAAACATGTGGCTGTATTTGAGGAGCTTGATCAGGGACCGGGGCACGTTGTCAGACACCTTGCAGGTGTGTTCCTCAAAGAAGTCCTTCACGGAGCTGAAACCTTGCTTCTTCCAGCGCTGGAGCATCAGGTAGAGCGGACAGCTGCACCTCACAGGGTTGTTGTGCAGGTACAAGCCAATCCTGATGG